GATGAGGATGCTCAGGTGGATGAATGTCTTTACTCTTAGAGGAACAATAAAAAATGAGGATATACGTGAAAAGGTTGGAGTAGCTCCAATGGCAGATAAGATTAGAGAGAGAAGCCTTAGATGGTTTGGTCACATAAAACGGCAGCCTTCTGATGACCCGATTAGGAGAGTAGATGTATTAGATTTAACTTATATTAAGAAAGGTAGAGGTAGACCTAAAAAGTCTTGGTTAGAAAATATTAGAAATGACCTTTTTTTATTGGATCTAAATGAGAATTTGACTCTTAATCAGACACAATGGAGGAAAATGATTCATGAAGCCGACCCCACGTAATGGGATAAATGCTTGATGTTGTTATTGTTAGCAGCGCCACTAACAGAACTAGCGCAACACAAGTACATGATATCTCATCAAGTAAAGACACATCAACTAGGATATGGCGCGTATATGTTGATACTTGTTCTAGAATTTCCATGGACCAATGTTAGTATTGACTTCGTGGTAGGCCTTTCCAACACACAACATAAATTATAATTTTTGATCGATTTTCAAAGATTGTGCATTTTATACCTTGCCATAAAACATTAGATGCCACACACATCGCCAATTTCTATTTCCAAGAGGTTGTAAAGTTATATGGCCTACCTAAAACTATTACATCAGACTGAGATGTTAAATTTCTTAGTCACTTTTGGAAAAATCTATGGGTTAAACTTGATAATGCAAGCCATTTGTAAAAAAGGAACCATAAAAATTTTGAAATATAGAAGCAAATTGAAATAGAAAAGTTGCAAGCCATTTGTAAGGAGATTCAACAATAACATTTACACAAAACGCAATGGCCAAACAAGAAATTATCCACCCATCTATATACATATTTTTTATCAAAAGTAGAGGGAAGTAGAAATACTTCTAGTAGTTAGAAAAGAAGCAAAAAATAACACAAGGAAACTAAATTTGTGCATGTCAATTTAATTGTGCTATATGTCTAGCTTTTTGCTAAACTTCACTCTTAAGACATTGCTTGGAATTTATAGGAGAGACTTCACCAATTCACCATGCCATAAGCCAATACGGAAATGGAAATATGGTGGTTAAGAAAATACAGGCTACATTAAATTTGACTATATGAAACAATGGATAAATCAATATAATTGTGTATAACGATTATGTTCAATGGTACATTTGGAAAAGCGAAATTTCTTATATATATATATATATATATATACTTTCTGTTGGAGCATCAGCCAAAAAAGCTGCTCAAGAGAAGCAAGAGTTTTTCAACAATACTATAAAATATACCTGAATCAAGATATCAAGAGTTGGAATAATTGAAAGCAGACCTTTATCATTTACATTTCCAACAATACCATCAAGCAGTTTAGCTACACTTGAGGAATGGCAATTTAAAAACTCTGCACCACCAAAAATTATGTAGTCCTCAATGATATCCACAACTACCTGTTCAAAGATAAATTAGCTCATTCAGATTTTTGCCTAAACCTTCATTAAATGAGTTCAAATCCGATTCCTGATAGTAAATTATAAATCAGAAGTGTAAATATGACGTGTGAGAGAAAACTATAAATCAAAGGCACAATTAAATGAGCCACAGAAAGGCTTCTCTTAAATAATCCTTAGCCTTATCCCAACTATATGGTTTCCTTTAATGCATCATTCTTCCCAAGCCATACTTGTTTAGTATCTCATATAGTGTTGTTTCTTAAGAACATCAGAAGATCGTAAATTAAAAGTTGAACTAGAAAATACAAGGTCAATTTTTTGCTTATATAACTGTCTTACGAGACCAGTTGTAATTTCTGAGGAATTAACATATCAAATCAGGTCCAAACTCCAAGTTGGGAATGATCAATTATATAATACCCAGTTGAAATCGAAAGTGAAGAGAGAAAGTAGAATTTGTTTAGGATAGTGCAAGCAAAATAAAGTATCATGGTTTCCGTGTGCATTATTGATAAAAAAAAAAAGTTTCCAATTCATAACAAAGACCACTTGTAATGATGATTTGGCTTAAGGCTGTATAAAAGACCAGCATTTTCATAATTATTTTATGCATCATGAAAAGCTTAAAACTTGAGTATTAAATCATCCTAAAGAAATGCATGTCTTATAGTATATATATGCATCTAAGCTTCCTGATGCCCTTCTTGATGTCTTATTCCACACCTTTGGGGCATTAGAACCTAACCTGCAAATGATCAAAACTTCTTTCAACTATGGTCACCAAAGAGGGAAAAAGGTCCAACAACTGAGGCACTATTGATGTAGCATGCGAAAGGACAGCCTCCCAAAGCTGCAAATATGAAAAATGCAAAAATCACACTTTCACATTTTTTCAGCAATATACAATTGAAAAGAACAACTAACCCGAATACTATCCTCCAGCAGGTTGAGCGCATCAGGATCATCAACGTTAATACCCTTTTGTAGAATAGGTAGAAGCATGTTATAGCAGACACAAGACTGATAGCCAAGTGAGCAAACAAAATTTCTAAGGGCCTCAAGGAGTTGAATCTGCAGTAAACTTTCACCAATGGATTCCTCCCACATCTGAATTCAGGAGTAAAAAACCATACCAACAAAATCACAACTGAATTAAGATATCATATGATCTTTCATAACAATTACACATGAAATTTCAAATAAAATTGCAATCATGATTTCATGGCGGCGTAATGTAACAGGAATCAGTTATGGAAATCTTTTCTTCCCAACCATAAAAACCATGGTTAAGGATGGCAAGAAAAAAAGTAAATGAGATTGTGTAAGAATAAAAGACATGCATATATAACAGAACATCATCTGAATTAAAGAATGTCGCATATGAAAAATGTTTAGAAACCGGCTAGTACTATTCCATACATCTATACATATTACTAAGCCACAACAACAACAAGAACAAAATCAAACCTTTAACCCACTACGAGGGGTCGGCTACATGAATCATTTTTCTCCATTGTGTCCTATTAAAAGTCAAATTCTCGTTTACATCTGTACATATTACTAAGACACAAAGAAAGAAAAAGTTCCCTTTTGTGCATTTCCTCCGAAATTTTGAAACAATAGAATTTCATTTTGAAATGAGCTTCTCCCAAAATTTTGTCAAGTTTTGTAATATTTAAATAGAGAAAATAACCAAAATAGCCTCTTGACTCTTTATGAAAGACTAAAATAGTCCTGAATTATATTAAAAGACTATTTTGATCCCTCAACTCCTTAAAAGGAACCAAAATAGTACCAACATAGAACTATTTTGATTCATTTTTAAAGAGTTGATAAACTAAAATGATCTTTTAATATAGTTGGTGACCATTTTGGTCATTCATAAAAAAATCAAGGGACTATTTTGATGTTTTTCTCTATTTAAATATGTTAAAAAAAAAACACATCCATTGTTATTAAGCTCAATATTTTAACAAAATTCAATTTCTTTAAATTTTTTCAAAAATTATGATGAATTATTAAATAGAGCATAAGGGCTCAAAAATATAAATAAATAAATCAGAATAAAACCAATCAGGCTTATTTGAGAATAGTTAGAGCAAACCACTTCTAATATACACCTTTATCCCCACCTCCTCAGATTATGTACTATTTATTTTAAAAAAATTGATTTCCAATATCTTCTCTTTGCTTTTTCATTCACTTTGTCATCCTCCAGCCAAGGGAAACTTTGAAAACCTTAAACTAAATGCCCATACATGCACATACATGCACATGCACCTGCTCACACACACACACAAATTACAAAAATACCATATAACTTTTTTTTTGTATTTTTTTTTATCTTGATTAGCATACAAGCTAAAAATACCATATAACTTCAAGGTTTGTTAGGTGTTAAAAATTTGGGATTTAGATATAGTGCAAAAAAATGTAAGTCAGTGTTGTTAAAAGCACACTTAAGAAAGTGTTGGTCCTATGCATCTCTTGTATGTGAAATACAAGCTCACAATAGAATGTGTGCATTGCACCGCACCATGTCATTGCACTATGCACTCAGGCTCCTTCTCAAAGTAAAATCTTGATTTAGATTTCGTAGTTCGGTTTAACATCTACCACAACAACTAGGCATGATCATTTGCCTTTTCTCATTGTTTTTCATAGTCATTGAGCCATTGCTCGTTAGTTTTCCATTTTCTTCCACATGAGCTAGTCATTTCTTGGTGGTCCTATTCACGCTTACCTACTAGTTCTTATACATTTTTCACTAGCTTTTGTTGTCGGCACCATTAACCTCTTCTCAAGAATGCCTTTTGATGCTTCATATTCACACTCTCACCAACTTCAAACTGTCTCCACTCTCGATATTTAAACGGTCACTTAATCTAATGAGTATATTCTTGATTTTAAGCATTTTTAAATCAGATCATTTTTGTTAAAAAATTATGCCATGATGTGGTTTAAGCTTGTTGACCTCTCAAAAAAAGCCAACAAAAAAATAAAAAAGAAAAAAAACTCCTCGTTACCTCTGCCATTCTCTGCTAAAGTCGTACTAGAATCCCTGCCAAAATCCATTCCACAGTATGCAAATCGGCTCCGTCTCAAACCATTTGTGCATGCCTCAATCCCGCATCGTTAAAATGAGAGCGAAGTCCCGCTTCATTGGCCTCTTCCTCTCTCACGTGAAAAACCCCAAACAACCCAGTTCTTCGCTTCTTCTACCCACATACCCGAACTCCAACTGTTTTGACGCCTTCTTCGATGTGAGCCAGTTCTAATTCCCTCCTCCCGAACTCCTCTCGCAATCCTTCCTTCGTCACGCTTAAACACCTCACATAATCCTTCTCTTCTCCAAAGCCTACGCCGCAAGCCTTGAACTCGACCGACCTCCACGATCTCCTCTGCCCTATAACTACAAGCTTTGAAAGTCCCGAGCCCCAACCTCTTGAAGTTGTTGGCTCTTCCAACCAACGCCTACCCTCTGCCGTCCACGGTCCCATCTACTTCTCTTCTTTCCTCAAGCCGCAAAAAAAAAAAAAAAAAAAAACTCAAAAAAAAAAAAACTCGTCCAGATTTCTCAAATCCATCAGCTGACACCTTCTTCTATTAGAAATGAACACCACTCACAAACCAGTCTTCCCCGATTGATCTCCATGTGTAAACCTCTTCCTGAACCCGAATCAAACACCTCCTGCCCTAGCCTTCCCATCGACTTGCCCTCTCTGACCTTTAGCTGCTTCCATTCGAGCAAACCTGTCGAATTTCCTGTTCTGCACCAGACCCGTCCAATCTAACCTGTAGCCTCCCCTTTCTTGCCCATTAAGACTTGATTGAGTTCTACATATATGCTTTATTTTTATTCTAGTTACTAATTGTTATTAGTTACTATTATTATAAAAATTATTATATCATTATAATTATTATTATACCATTATTATTATTAGTTGTTATGATAATAATAGCAATTATTAACGCCACTTATGTCATTGTATTTGATAAGAGATATACATAAATATGTTTGTGTATACATGCTATATATGTATATATATGTGTGTAAAAAAAAGAAGGAAAATAAAGTAAAAAAGGAGAAAAAAAAAGAAAAGAAAGAGAGCGGAGAAGTATAAAAGAAAAAGAGAGAAGAAATAGTTTCTAAAAAAAGAACAAAAAAGGAAAAGAAAAAAAATGAGAAATACAAAAAAGAGAGGGATGTTTTATGTAAATTGTGCATTTTTGCATATTTTCCTCCATCATCTCCATGCTACAAAGGTTTAATCCCTCCAACTCAAAACTCCAAGAGCCCATCTTTGACGCTTGTAGTGTGACAAAACAGCTACCTATACATGCTTTTCTTAGCATGATGGGAGAAAGTTCGTCGCGATGCTTGCAAAAAAAGGATAATCATCAAAAGCCCCACTTCGGCATTCGCGACGTACCAGAAAATTGTATATACACGCTTTTACTAGCGTGGTGGGATGGAAACTCGATACGACGCCTACGGTGAGACGTGGTTACTTATAAGTACCCTCGAGCAGGAGAAAGCCAACTGTTTTATAAAACAGGTACCCTCGAAGACCCATACACGTCTTTATTGGCGTGGTGGGAATGAGACTACGGCCGCGATGTCTACGGACACCTACCATATACACTTTTATTAGCACGGTGGGAAGTCCCAGACTCCTGTAGTTTCTCCTAAACGAGGAAGATGCCAGGAGACTGCTGAAATTTACACTAATAGGGGGCCTAATTTTAATAAAAATGGACAACATGAAACTTTATTTGAACTCAGAAAGAGGACCTAAATTTAATTATTTTAACTAAACAGTGAACAATAACAGGGGACTTGTTAACTGAATTTGAGCTTAAGAGGACCACAGGGAACTCATACAATGCATGACAACGAATTAAACTCAAATGAATTATAATAAAACTAATGTGAACATAACTGAATAAACAGAAGACTTGCAAGCTTGAATACGACGACAAATTAGAGTTCAATTCGAACAAATGATAGAGCATTGGACTTTAAATTGACAAAGGCATGGTCGAAATAAAAATATCCAAATCTAATAATAATTTCGAGCATTGAAATGAACCCCTTGCAAGCAAGTACAACTATAAAGATTTGTTTGATCAAACAAATTTGTCAAGTAAGCAGAGATGAAGGAACACAATAACATCTCTACCATCAACAACGACTCAACTTCAAGAAAATACATTAGCAAAGGAAGATCAATACATAGTGAGCATAAAAAATTGATGATCAAGACTTGTTGAACAAGCCTTTAACAAATATAATTTGCAAGTGACCGGCATCATTTGACCATGGGCAAGTATGCTAACGTGTTCATAAACAACGAGGCTGACAAACATCCTACAAAATACACTCAAGAAGGCTTCAATGAATGCATTCAAGAGAATTGTGAGGGATTGACTAACATGATTTGCAAGCGATAACATAAAGCTTCCAATAGATGTTAAAAGACTATCATTGGCCATTAAAGTACATGCATCAGTATTACACAAGGGCAGGTGCAATTCACCCTATAAGTAAGAATGCACAATACGCAATCAACATATCTACAAACAAAACCTAAGAATGTTGTGGAGGGGATATCAAGCATAGTACTAATGATAGCTAGCTTATGAAAGGAGTTCATGATACCTACGCATATGAAAAGAAGCATCTAATGCACATGAATTGTCTGTAAGCATGAATCAGAGGACTTGTAATATAATGATCTATTCATAATGCAAGGGGATTCATAGTGAATGTAACGAGCTGTATACAAGTGACTATAGATAATACAACAATAAAACACAATAACTCAACAACAATTCAACTTCAATCAAATATCTCAATCTCCTGCAAGCAGAAGTATTCAATGATACTACAAGAGACACATTCCGCATTTAACATGTTAGTTGTAACCAGAAGAATCCAATATGCAATGAAAACGATAAGTTATTAATTCAATGTAGTGGTCATTGATTTCGAAATACAAGGCATCAGTAAGGACGCAATCATACAAAGTTGAAATAATTGATTCTTTATTTAAGCCAACAGCAGAAAATGATGATGTTGGCATAATCAGGGAATTGCTCATTGA